TTGGTACTCAGGGCACAGGCAGGACAGAATCCATATAGACTACCTAGCACTCAACTTCTAGGAGTCTAGTCACCTGGTTCAGGAAGCGCTCATTTGTAGTTTTGAAATTCTTTAGCCAGGTTGAAGCCTCTAAAGGTTGATCAAAGCGTTGTTTGTTGTAGCTGGACTGCAGAAGTTCCCGGCAATTTTTCACCCAAAGATGAGCTTTAAAAAAGGCAGAAAAAAACAAACTAGGCAGAAACTATATTCACCTGGAAATATTCCAGCCTCTTTAAGTTATAAGAAATGACTTTAGTTTCTCATATATATACACACATATATATATGTGTGTGTGTGTGTGTGTATATATATATATATTTTTTTTTTTTTTTTGACACAGAGTCTTGTTCTGTTGCCCAGGCTAGAAGGCAGGATGAGATCACAGCTCACTGTAACTTTGAACTCCTAAAAGCCCAGGCAATCCGCCTACCTCAGCCTCTCAAAGTGCTGGTGAACTACTGTGCCTGGCCATGTCAGGTCCATCTTACACTAAACATTATCATTAGAATCAATATATAAAGCATACCAAGTGGCTTAAATATCACTTCTGCTTACTGGCAAGTTTGAAAGATAAGTCAGAAAATATGGATGTTACATGAGCAGGTTTGTTTACAAAAAAGAAAATGTGGATGCACACAACACTGAACAAAAAAGGGATATACGCAAAGTGTAGTATCCCTTAAGTTTTGACAATCCATACTGATGACTCTAGAAGGTTGATAAATAGTAAAAGGCTCTATGGGTACTCAGAATTATTAACCAATGGCAAAAACAAAAACTCCACCTGTAAGGCAGGAGTTTATGCTCACGGGTATTAAATATCAAAAGGAGGGCTGCTTAGCATCAAAAGGCTTCAGGAATCTTTTAGCCCAATTTCCTTTTGTCACATTGACTTCACCTTATAACCTGCTTCGGAGTAGTATCACGAAGAAATATTGATGAACGAGCTCTGACTGGTCTACATCTGGAGCAAAGGCTTTTCTTTTTTCTTTTTTTTGAGACAGGGTCTTGCTTTGTTGCCCAGGCTAGAGTGCAGAGATGCGATCACAGCTTACTGCAGCCTCCTCCTGGGCTTAAGCGATATTCCAGCCTCAGTCTCCCAAAGTGCTGGGATTACAGATATGAGCCATTGTGACTGGCAAAGGCTTTTCTTTTAGTTATCAGATCCCTGTTAGAAAATTAAAGCTAAGATCGAGCGCGGTGGCTCACACCTGTTATCCCAGCACTTTCGGAGGCTGAGGCAGGTGGATCACCTGAGGTCAGGAGTTCGAGACCAGCCTGAAACCCCGTCTCTACTAAAAATACAAAAATTAGCTGGGCATGCTAGCATGTGCCTGTAATCCGAGCTACTTGGAAGGCTGAGGAAGGAGAATCACTTGAACCTGAGAGGGGGAGGCTGCACTGAGCTGAGATAGCACCATTGTGTCCAGCGTGGATGACAAGAATGAAACTCCGTCTCAAAAAAAAAAAAAAAAAAAAAAGAAAATTAAAGTTGCAAGGCTTTAATAACAGATAAGTGAACCTAACAGAAGAAAAGGCAGGAAGATCTTACCATCTGGAACATGTAGTATGAGCCAGTCCTGTTTTGCACAGAAATGAATAACATGGCAAAGACTGAGGGTTTTTCCTGTTCCCTTCTCCCCATCTAAAGTACATGTTGTTAAAGAAAACATGAGTAGAAGGGTCACTTGAACTGTGAACAGTACTTATGTTTTGTTTTTTGTTTTGAAATGGAGTCTCGCTCTCTGTCCCCAGGCTAGAGTACAGTGGCTTGCTATCAGCTCACAGCAACTTCTGCCTCCTGGGTTCAAGCGATTCTCCTGCCTCGGCCTCCTGAGTAGCTGGGATTACAGGTGCCCACCACTAGGCCTAGCTAATTTTTTGTATTGTTAGTAGATGCGGGGTTTTGCCATGTTGGCCAGGCAGGTCTTGAACTCCTGATTTCAAGTGATCCGCCTGCCTTAGCCTCCCAAAGTGCTGGGATTACAGGTGTAAGCCATCGCACCAGCCTCAACAGTACCTTTTCGCATTTCTTCTTTTCCCTTCTTTGAGGAGTGAAAGCATTGGTTCATGAGGGTCCAGGCATGCAGTAAAGGATACACAGAAGATATCGTACAGCTGGATAAGCAAAATTAGTGTTTTTCAGGTAATGCAGAAGTTCTAGGGCTGGTTTCCTTACCATCAGGTAAGCTTCACTGAATGTCTTCACCTGATAAAACAGGAAAGAAGGGAAGAGTGGGTGGGGTGTGGAACTTCTAAACAGTTCTTGCTATACACACACTGCCTAAAGTGGCAACTAAGACCATCAAATGGCATGCCTCTAATTTATTCAGTTAGGAGAGGGTGGGTTGGTAATGAGTTTGCAAATCTATCCATATAACTTAGCTAAAAACTGAAATACATTATTCCACACCAAGTAACATGATAGCCAGCTCTTGATTATTCCTGTTACTGAATCAGATATTATCTCAGCTGAAATCTATAAATAATTGATATATCTCATTAAAAAATTATGTATACCATTTAGGGTCACTGTAAATATGGAAAGTATACAGAAAAACGCTTAAAATATCTGACATGAGTTAATCATTCAATAAACATTAACACTTAAAAAAAAATTTTTTTTTTTGAGATGGAATTTTGCTCTTGTCGTCCAGGCTGGAGTACAATGGCACGATCTCAGCTCACCACAACCTCCACATCCTGGTTCAAGCAACTCTGCTGCCTCAGCCTCCTGAGTAGCTGGGATTACAGGCATGCGTCACCACACCCAGGTAATTTTGTATTTTTAGTAGAGATTAGGTTTCTCCATGTTGGTAAGGCTGGTCTCAAACTCCCGACCTCAGGTGATCCACCCACCTTGGCCTCCCAAAGTGCTGAGATTACAGGCATGAGCCACCATGCCCAGCCTAGAATTTATTTTTAGCTAATTTTTATTACTTTAACCATTTAGACTTTTTTCTCTAGAACTATATACATAGCAGCTCCAGAGCAGGTGTGACCTGCTACCCACAACTCTAAGGCCATCCATACCTCACACCTCCAGCATACTAACCTTTCAGAGTTTATGTGTTCATTCCCCTTTTGTCACCAAAATACTTTGGGGGGAAACTTGGGAAGCACTAATGTGTATGAAAATGATTTGCAAAGAAAGTATTTAATATGCCTACTAATAAGAATATCTAACAAATACTGTTTGTAAGTATAAAACAGTGTTAATTTTAAATTTTTTTTTTTTTGAGACAGAGTCTCACTCTGTTGCATAGGCTGGAGTGCAGTGACAACATCTCGGCTCACTGCAACATTCGCCTCCCGGGTTCAAGCAATTCTCCTGCTTCAGCCTCCCAAGTAGCTGTGACTACAGGCGTGTGCCACCACACCCAGCTAATTTTTGTATTTTTAGCACAGATGGAGTTTCATCATGTTGGTCAGGCTTGTCTTGAACTCCTGGCCTCAAGTTATCTGCCCACCTCAGCTTCCCAAAGTGCTGGGACTACAGGCGTGAGCCACTGTACCCAGCCAGTGTTGATATTTTTAAAAGAAATTCTAACAAAACAATGAATTGTTGTAGGATTTGACAGATAATTCCAAGCTTAATGGAAAGTTCAATGTTCAAAAAAATATGATAGATATTAAAACAAATGTCAGCCAGGCACAGTGGCTCATGCCTGTAATCCCAGCACTTTGGGAGGCCAAGGCAGGTGGATCACCTGAGGTCAGGAGTTCGAGACTAGCCTGGCCAATATGGTGAAACCCCATCTCTACTAAAAATACAAAAATTAACCGGGCATGGTGGTGAGTGCCTGTAATCCCAGCTACTTGGGAGGTTGAGGCAGAAGAACAGGAGAATCATTTGAACCCAGGAAGTGGAGCTTGCAGTGAGATGAGATCGCACCACTGCACTCCAGCCTGGGTGACAAGAATGAAACTCTGTTTCAAAGAAAAATGTCACATCAGGGCTGGGAGCTGTGGCTCACACCTGCAATCGCAGCACATTGAGATGCCAAGACGGGAGGATCGCTTGGGTCCAGGAGGTCAGAGATGTAGAGTGTGGCTGTGGTCACACCACTGTACTCCAGTCTGGTTGTCAGAGTGAGACCCTGTCTCTATAAAAAAAATAATAATTGGCCAGGCATGGCGGCTCACACCTGTAATCCCAGCACTTTGGGAGGCTAAGGCAGGTGGATCATGAGGTCAAAAGATTGAGACCACCCTAGCCAAGATGGTAAAACCCCATCTCTACAAAAAATACAAAAATTAGCAGGGCGTGGTGGCACATGCCTGTAATCCCACCTACTTGGGAGGCTGAGGCAGGAGAATTGCTTGTACCCAAGAGGTAGAGGTTGCAGTGAGCTGAGATCGTGCTACTGGACTCCAGCCTGGCCATAGAGCAAGATTCCATCTAAAAAAAAAAAAAGAAAAGATAATAATAATAAAATAGGCCAGCACAGTGGCTCATGCCTGTAATCCCAGCACTTTGGGACGCCAAGATGGGCAGATCACCTGAGGTTGGGAGTTAGAGACCAGTGTGACCAATATGGAGAAACGCCATCTCTACTAAAAATATAAAATTAGCCGGGCATGGTGGCACATGCCTGTAATCCCAGTTACTCGGGAGGCTGAGGCAGAAGAATCGCTTGAACCCAGGAGGCAGAGGTTGTGGTGAGCCGAGATCGTCCCACTCCAGCCTGGGCAACAAGAGGGAAACAG